AATATTATTTGGGTTTCGATTTTTTAGATGATATACAGAGGCTTGTATTTAAAATAACAATAATTTGAACGGTTTTATAAGAAAAGGAAATAATTAGTTTTTCTGGTCTTTCTGTTTGATATCTAATCAGTTGATTTAGAACGATCAAATATGTCGACTTTCCTTAACCTATAAACCAACTTTTAGCTTTCGATATACCGTATTTATGATTTAACCAATGCTTATTTGTAATGAAGTTCATAAAATTTCTGGGCCACCCTGTATATTATATTAATATTATACGAGAATAATAGAGACTTGATTCTCTTGTAATAATGACAGGCAGGGTATTTTATTGTTAACTCATTATTGTAATGAACTTCATTAATGTTTCTATTGTTGAATTAAATAAGTTAAATATTTAATTTCCATTTTGTAAGAGAGTTTTGATCGGTTTTGGTCGCCGTGGTTCGGTGCGAGAAACCGAGACGTTTGCGCCGCTCTCCCTACCAGTGCAGGTTGAGTGGAGGGGACCGTAGTCGAGTACCTCGGCAGTACTGGCACTACAGAGTTAGTTGTGTGGTCGCACGTGAACAGTGAAGTTCGAGTCCGGAGTGCCCTGCCAAGTGTCCTGCTGCCAGCTGCCAGCCGCCTGCCGCCTGCCGCCGTATTGTATAAGGTAAGCACCCACCGCCAAAGTGATCGAGAGTAGGTCGTATTCTTTTTATTGTTAATACCGTTTACTTTACTGCCTTGACGCGTTATAGGGATAAGGGAGACAGAGATAGTTAGAACGCGCGATCGCAATAGCTGGCAAAACTCGTATTCGTTCAGGGCCAACCGTCCTCTAGCAGGTAGGGGAGCTGAACGGATCGCGCGAACGCAAGAGCTAGCAAAAACTTGTATTCGTTCAGGGCCAACCGTCCTCTAGCAGGTAGGGGAGCTGAACGGATCACGTGGACGCGAAGACCGATTTCTTTTATTAAAAAGGGAGACAGATAGCGGTTAAGGTAGTACAGTAAATACCCGGGTCGCGAATGTTCTTGGAACTAAGGCAGGATCTCGTCTATCCCGCGACTGGTTCTGTAGTTCCCGTATTCTCATCAGGAGCGCCGTGGGATCTCGCCGACATCCCGAGGTGGTCCTGACCGGGCGGTGTGGACTGTGCTTATCCAGGCGACTAACCGAGACGCCGTTTCGTTTTACTGCGCACGATCCAGGGCTCGCGTGCGTACCTATCCCACAGGACTCCGTTTCGTCCTACTGCGAACGATTCAGGGCTCGCGTGCGTACCTATCCCACAGGACTCCGTTTCGTCCTACTGCGAACGACCCAGGACTCGCGTGCGTACCTATCCCACAGGACTCCGTTTCGTCCTACTGCGAACGATCCAGGACTCGCGTGCGTACCTATCCCACAGGACTCCGTTTCGTCCTACTGCGAACGATCCAGGACTCGCGTGCGTATCTATCCCACAGGACGCCGTTTCGTTCTACGGCGAACGATCCAGGGCTCGCGTTTGTTTATCCCGGGACGTCTGTAACGACGTCGCCGACGTTTAGAAAGTCGGGTTATAAAAGAGTATATCGCTCCGGTACGTACATGTCTGTGTTTACTAGGACGCCGTTAAGTTAGACGCCGGTTAGAAACTCGCGTCGTTTTGTTTACTAGAGCGTCATGTCAAAAACGCGCTTTGAATTCGCGTGATTAAATCGGACAGTGAGTTGCATATCGAGATTATACGGTCAAAACTCTAGAGGTGCTCGATTGTTGTTGTAAATTTTATTTTACGAGTCATTAATTATAAATTTTCTTTCACTTTCATTACAATTTAAAGTCGTGAAACTTCCTGGGGTATTTAGCATATAGTTAATTAATTAAATAAAGCCTTAATGTTATGTTATAGTTAACTGTGTGTTTTATTTCTTTTCATTTCATCACTCCCTGGTATTTCCACTGTATAAAAGCTACCCGTATTGGCGAAACGTGGACCTCTTCCACTATAAATAACAGAGGTGGCGCCCGAGAGATTTAAATTTACTACTGTACGCCAGTAAGACTATTTATTTTTCACTGAACCAAAGAAAAATAAACTGAGACTCTTACATATTCAAGATCATGTTTTTGTCAATTTTACAATTATTGTTTTATTTTTTATTTTGAAAACTATTAGAGATTGTTATAGGTTAGTATAATACAAAAATGTTGAGATATGGAAGTCGTTTCGAAAAATATAATAATTTATCGGGTGTTCCATTTAAAATAACAAAGATGCTACCACTTTTAGTATGAAGCGGCAACACCGTAATGCTGAAAATAATTTAGACAGATCATGGAGCAGGTGCCTTTATGGAAAAATCCAAAATTTCCGATAGAGAAAGGTATGTAACTTGACGTAGATAACTCAAATATGGCAATTTTGGACTTAACATATAAGTTTGCTGTTGGGGTACAGATATATTTTGTGCGTTGGGTAGTCAAACTTGAATGTGACTTTTAGGAATTCTTAAAAATAGTTCCATTTGCGCTACGCGGACGATACAGTCCTTCTCGCTGAAAACATGCAAGACCTTCAAAATATGTTAAATCACGTCATCACAACTAGTCGAGAATATTGTCTGACACTCAATGTTAAGAAGACCAAATACATGATTGTCACTAAAACTGGAGTACCCAATGAACATCTGTACGCGGAAGGCGAGGAGCAGGAGAACTACCCTCTATAAAACCGTCCCAGATACTGGCTTTTGTCAAAGCCCTGGGACTGTATGATGAGTTATGATTCAAGAAAGGGGGACACAATGGATCTGTAAGGTCGAAGTGATTAACCCCCCTCCCACTCATTCTAAATTCTAAAAAAAAAAAGGCGAGGAGCTCGAAAGAGTAGAGTAGTACCTGGGGTATGGAAGCTTGGACCCTCAACGAGTTTTGCGAGCGGAAACTGGAGACCTTCAAAATGTGGGCATACCGAAGGATGTTGAGAATACCATGGACAGAACATGTAGCCAACGTGGAGTTTCTGAGAAGAATGAAGAAGGGCGTGGAGATCCTCAAGGAAGTGAAAAAAAGAAAATTGCAATATCTCGGCCATGAGAGGCCATCATGAGAGGTCCAAGGTATGAGATTTTGCAACTCATAATCCAGGGAAGAATGTAGGAAAAAGATCTGTTGGAAGGAGAAGAATATCCTAGCTCAGAAACCCGCAAAAATGTGACGTCATCTGACCTATTTAGGGCCGCAGCTTCCAAGGTCAAAATAGCAATGATGATAGCCAACCTCCGATATGGAGACGGTACATGAAGAAGAAGAAAAATAGTTCAATAACGGATACTGGAATTTTAGGGGGGCCCAAATAAAAAGTAATGTTGAATATGCTTTTTAGTTGGTTAACCCAAAAGCCAAATATTTAACCCAATTTATAAATTTTAGAGGGTCTGGGCCCCTTGGACCCCCCTTTGCATCCGCCACTGGTACTTTGTATTTATTATACTAATAAAATTAATAATGCTATTACCTCAATATGGGTGTGATTATGTCGCCAACATTAGGCGTTTAACTATATTAATAAATCGAAAAAAAGCGATCTATAATTTAAAACGGAAATTTTTATATATCCCAGGACGAAGGGTGTGTAGGGTATCGATGATAGAAAAAATAATGAGGGTTCTTTTTAATTTATTATATTTACTTGTAATTTTATACAAGGCATTTTGCATGGAATATTAAGGGTTAATCTATCCGCTCAAATATCCATTGAGGCATTGAGAGCAAAAGTGGTGCCTCTTAAGCTTCATGAAGAACCTCGCAATTAGTGGAATAAATTAGTAGTTTCAATTAGCGTAGAAGTTTGATACCCTAATCTCAATATAAGCATTTACAACGTCAAAATTAGTGGTAGTAAAGCTTCATTCAGAGAACCTCGCATTTAGGGTCCCTGCAACAACCTCCCGTAATCCTGCTGTTAAAACATAACAATTGGTTTTTATATAAAAAAACCAGCTGTTATGTTTTAACAGCAGGATTACGGGACGTCGTTGCAGCCACCCTTAGTGGAATAAATTAGTGGTTTCACTTACATTTTATAGTTTTTAGTTTACGATCATTCCCAATGTCTAAAAAACACAATTAAAATTAATAGAATATCTTAGCAACAGCTTCCGTTAGTCAGTTGTATCCATAGAGGGACCCCATTAGGCCATACACCACGCTATCCTACGTGAGCCCACGTGTTGCGACGTGGGAAAAATGTACACATGAGATCTGGGACAGACGATTCGCCCATCACACGTGTGATAGAGTGGGATGGCGTGGGGTGGCGTGTTGCCTAGTGTGTACGCAATACATGTAATTAAATGGAAAAACATACGCACAGTTCTTTATAACGTGGGGAGACATGGCGTGGCCTGGCGTGTTGGCTAATGGGGTCCCGGCGTTACTCTTTATCAAACGGCATTGAAAATTATTTTTACGTATCTTTAGCCACTTGAAAAGTCCAATTTGCAGAAATCGTAAACTTATACTTACGTTTTCTAATTATTTAATTATCAACTAATGAAGCACAATATCCCTTACACTCAGCTACATTCCTAATGGAATTTCTTTTTATTTCATATCTTTTGTTGGCAAGTAGAAAACTAAGTTATTTACGAACTAATAAATTTAAACTAGCCATCTTAAGTTTAATACTCATAATAATAAAACTCATTAGGAATATATCTGCGTTAATCTAAGTTTTAAGTGCTTTTTTTTTATTTCAAATTAAGTGAAAACTTTGTTGTAATTATTAGTTAACTTTTTAAATTTTAATTCAAGTCTATATCCTTTTTTGGAGTCTTAACTATATGTTTTCAGGCTTATTTATAAAAAACTATTACTTAACTATTTTTAAAATTTGGTATACAACTTGGGTGAAAAATACTTTCTCATTTTCTCGCAAAGCACGTTGGTGCGGGTAAAATTTGATTTCATATTTTTTCTATGCGAGTTATCAAATAAATATCACACAAATTGTGACATTCATTATTTAAACTGTTTTCATAGAGTCGTCTGGTACATAAAATTTACTTGTATGTGAGTATTATTTTTTAAATTTAAATTATATTATCTCATTTTGAATTATTTAATATTGTCAATGAAATAAATAATTAGAATATGTGTACAGAGACATCATTTTAAGTGTCTCACTCGATTTATAATTTTCCTATTTGGTATTTAAAGATAGTAGAAAAATTTTCTAATGTAATTTTTCGCGAGGATGCCGATTCTCTATACCAAAATTTTTTAAAACGTCAATTTTGACAGATACGACGCCATCTTGATTTTTTTTTAAATGGAAACCCCATCATATTTTAGCATGGTCCGGTAGACATATTTTAGCTAATTTCAAAAATATATACTTTAGTATATTTTGCACTTACCGTTTTCTATATACAGTGGATTTAAAAATGAATTGTCCCAGAATCATTTTAAGTGTCCCACCCAATTTAAAATTTTCGTCTTTTCTATTTTAAGATAGTAAAAAGATATTTTAATGTAATTTTTCGCGAGGATGCCAATTTTCTACATTAAAATTTTTTAAAACGTCAATTTTGACAGATACGACGCCATCTTGATTTTCTTTTTGAATGGAAACCCTATCATATTTGAACATGGTCCGGTAGACATATTTTAGCTAATTTCAAAAATATATAGTTTAGTATACTTTACACTTACCGTTTTCGATATACAGTGGATTTAAAAATGAATTGTTCCAGAATCATTTTAAGTGTCTCACCCAATTTAAAATTATCCTCTTTTCTATTTTAAGATAGTAAAAAAATATTTTAATGTAATTTTTCGCGAGGATGCCGATTTTCTACGTTAAAATTTTTTAAAACGTCAATTTTGACAGATATGACGCCATCATGATTTTTTTTAAATGGAAACCCCATCATATTTTAGCATGGTCCTGTAGACATATTTTAGCTAATTTTAAAAATATATAGTTTAGTATACTTTGCACTTACCGTTTTCGATATACAGTGGATTTAAAAATGAATTGTCCCAGAATCATTTTAAGTGTCTCACCCAATTTAAAATTTTCCTCTTTTCTATTTTAAGATAGTAAAAAGATATTTTAATGTAATTTTTCGCGAGGATGCCAATATTCTACATTAAAATTTTTTTAAAACGTCAATCTTGGCAGATACGAAGCCATCTTGATTTTTTTTAAATGGAAACCCTATCATATTTGAACATGGTCCGGTAGACATATTTTAGCTAATTTCAAAAATATATAGTTTAGTATACTTTGCATTTACCATTTTCTATATACAGGGGGTTGAAATCAAGAATTCCTCTAATTTTGATGTATTTGAATATGAATGCCATTCACTTACAACTGAGTGGCATTCGTATCCAAATGCATGAAATTTACATAAATTGATTTTTTAAAACTAAATTTTCAAAAATTTTTTTATATACAGGGTGGTCCGAACTGTATTCCAGAAACTTCGGCAGCATATCCTGCAGATAAAAATAAGTAAAAAAGTTCGTATAAATATCTATGTCCTACAATGCTTAGTTTCGGAGATACACAGTGTAGAAGTTTCATTTTTATTTCGATTTTTTCCAATTAATTTCTGAAGTAACGACAATATTTGGCTGAAAATTCGTGTATGGGAGTTTTTTGACATGAGAAATTTGATTTTGATGTCAATATGACTCTTATTTGTGGGGGGCGGCACCTACATGTGTTTTAACTGTTTTTTACTTATTTTTATCTGCAAAATATGCTGCCAAAGTTTCCGGAATACAGCTCGGACCACCCCGTATATAAAAGTCATATTGAAGAAGAATCAAAGTATAAATAAATAAAAAAATTCACAGTCCTTTACAAAGAAGCAACCGGGAGGGCATTGAAAATGCTGAATAAAAACGTAAAAATATGATTAGTGTTAATATGAGTGTATTACATACATATGTTTAAATAACGAACTGAACAAAAAACAACAGATTTAAAGATTCACTGAAAAAGTAGTAATGTTAAAATTAAATAAAACATTATCAATAATAAATAATTATGCGATGCCAGATCATGATCAATGACAGATAAAGAATTCTTACGGAAAGTTACACTTTACGATATAATTTTTTAACTGTTAAAGGCAAAGCCCATTTAAACACAAAACTTTTTAATACCTACTACTGTATCTAAAAGACTTTTTTTTTAATTACTAAATTTTTAGCCACGCTTCTGTTTTTCTTGGTGTCACGTCACAGATTAACAGGCCCACGTTTGCACCACAAAGCGATGCTGCAGACCACTAGGTAGACCGGTCGTAGAAATTTATGTTATACAACTTGTAGTCAATCTACACAAATATTATCAAAAACTTTTTTTCTTTTAAAATGTGTTCAGATTTTGTAAAAAGTATAAGTCAAAATCGCAAAACTTAAATTTGATATGAGTTTCTTAGTTCTTAACTAATATAGTGGCGAATTACAAAAATTCCTTTTCAATGAAAATTAATGAGTTAAATAAAATAATTTAATAAATTACTAGCTTTTTCTCGCGACTACGTTCGCGTTACACCTCGAATCGTTCATGCATTGATTTAAATGATTTTTACTTCTTTATAGAGAGCTAGTGAGCATAGATGTTTTTTATTTTTCATTTTTTTTATTTATTAAGAGCACTAATACTCTCTTTATAGGTTATTTTTTATTCTTTGAAGGATAATTGAGGAAGATATATTTCGTTATGATGTCACTAAATAAACCCTTGTATAACATTTTATACTGTCTGGTTTATAATGTTATAGTATTGCATTTTCGTAGAGCAAACTTTCATTCTCTATTCTACTCCCTAAGGGTATAAATTTCATAAATTCGCTTTACCTTTGTGCCAATTTTTATGTGTATAATCCAGAGGTCACCAAGTTTTATATAAATTTTTACTAACTTTACCCATTTGGTTGATGAATTTCAGAAATTTCTTCTAATTCTTTTTGTAGGATTTCATTCTTCTAGACCAAATAGTAAGGAATTTTCATACAATAAACTGTTCCGAGATAATTTTACTCTCTAAGAGGATGAATTTCCTAAAATCGCTTTGTGTAGCTAATTCACTAATGTCGTTTAAACGAACCTTTGTGCTAATATTTATGTATGTAAAGCTGGCGGCATGAACTCACTCTAAAATATCTAAAAACGTTATATATAATCTAACTGACACACCACTGACAATGACAAATAATTTATTTCTGGAGGTATTGTGTGTAGGTGTTTTTCAGGTATGTTTTAGTATTTAGTCGTTTTATACAAAGAAATAGCCATTAAGCACTATAAAAATACTTCATAACAAATCTACACATATATACTTTTCATTTAAAAAAAGAATCATCAAGATTGGTAAAGCGGTTTCGGCGGGATGGATGCAACAAAAAAACCCTTTGAGCTTTTATATATGTATGGATTAATTATTTTTCCAACATATTTTACTTTGCAAATTTTTATAAATAGTCAGACTCGCCAATATCGTACTCCGTGTCCAGCCTGTTTAGCCAAACGTAGGCCGATTCCTCTTCGACGGCGTCGTGACCCTGGCCGAAGGAAGAGTCTTGAAGACGCTCATCCGCGCATAGGAATAAGTTGACTGCGTAGCGTATTGCGTATTAATCGATTCTGAAATTTTCTATCTCGTGTATAACATGTTCGCAAGTTTATTATTTTAATCTCGATTTTAATAGATAAATGTGTGAAATGCCACCTGAATATCTTCCGCCATGACATGTTTTTACTTTTTTGTTATGGTAAAGTGATTTGTATAAACTTTATTCAATAACGTATATTTTCCTCCATTTGTGATTTTTTAATTTTAAGCGAAAATTAAGTATAACATTTTAGGAAAAAGAAACACTGTAATATTTAAAAGAATAAGAAGAAATTAGTCTTATTTTGAAAGGAAAATATAGAAAAAACTCTTTCTATAGAAAAAGTCTTTATACTAACCAGAATCCGGTGACATATACGCGGTCTCACCGGAAACATTACTTATTACTTCGCATAACTTGAAGAATATCTACTTTTAATAATGAACACTTCAGAAATACACCAGTAAAAACATTTATTATTTGAGATTAAAACTCGAATTAAATTATAAATATTAGTTACCTATGTTGTTATAGCTTTTATAGGCCTGTTTAACGACTTAATAAGTTACCTAGCGAAAAAATCTGTGCGCGTACCTACCACTATTGTTACAGGTTAATTCGTTAAAGAAATATGTTACACAAGTTAAAAACGCTAAAATTTTAATGGTATTACTTGTGCATTATTGGCCTTATAATGTAATTTGTTGGAATTATATCTTCTTTAAATATAATTAGACTTTTTAACGACTTTTAAGTTACCTAGGAAAAAATCTGTGCACGTACCTACCAGTATTGTTACAGGTTAATTCGTGAAACAAATGTGTTACATATTATTCGTGGTATTAGTGGTATTATATTGGAATCAGCTTGGCATTAGTGGGGCATTATATGAGAAATTTTGGTATTTAATTTGTATTTTTGGCATTACTTTGGCATTAGTATACAGACATTTGTCAGCGGTTTACTCCTTGTAGATAATCAAAAAGTTTTTTGATAAAATTTGCTTTTTATGTCAGATCATTTCTATGAAAAATTACATTAGATTTTTATTAAAGACGCTGGGTAATTAAAACATTGACTAATAAAGCTTGTCCACTTTAAATAAGGGGTCACGAAATATCCTCCTTGGAGTGTTTGGGTTAAGGGGTGTATAATAAATTAATCGTTGTTTTATAATAAAAACCATAAAACATTTATTTGTGAGTAAAATAATGCAATGGTTGGATATCTCTCCTTTATAATTAGGTGACTAAAAATACACTAAAATAATTAGAAAAAAAATCTTGTACTTATTTAGTAATTACGTCAATATTAATTAATTGACTTTCTAGTCTATTTTATTTTATGTACAAATATATTATTAAATTTTAAGCATTAAGTAATAAAACACTTTGTGCCCTCTTATATCGTAAGAGGTTACGAAATATACTCCTGGTTACACCCCTTACAGAAAACAGTGTAAGGGGTGTAAATAAATTGTATAATCACTGTTTTTTATAATAAAAACTATAAAACATTTCTTATTTGTGAGATTAAAAAAACAAAACAATGCATTGGTTAAAATAAGTACATTCAATACATATGTATGTGTTATAACATAATATAGCCATTACTATTATACTATTATTATTAAAATAATATGTGTGTAACATATTTCTTTAACGAATTAACCTGTAACAGACATTTATATGCCCAGTATATTTTTGTTTAACAAACCAATCAGGAAAAATCCAAAACCTACCGTTATAGGAGGTATAAGATGATTAAACTTATATAATGACAACTACTTATCGGATAACAAATTAATTACTACTGTCAGCTAGTTCAGCTACTGTCTATGTAGAATATACCTAGAGTACCTACACCTACCTATGATGTAGGTAGATTAAAGATTATTTTGACGTTACCTCTCACTTCGGTGTCACAAGCTGAATTTTTCAGGGATGGAAGTACATTACATGATATGGGGACCCTTATTCCGAAAGTAGTACAAAATTAGACCGGGTAAAAGGGCACTATCATCAAAAATCGATATATTAATACCACCGTATAGAGAAAACAAATACTTATTTTTTGATCCAGTACACAATAAAGTCTTCGTAGGGAGTAATTTTTATAATTATTTACAAAAAACATTTCCATTAGCGCTTATGACCAAAAAAACTTTAAACATGAATAATCATTTCAATCATGCGAAAATTTGGTTTAAAAATAGATTTTTTTTTAATATAACTTTCATTTAACGAAAAGGAAGGCCTAAATGAAAAAAAAGAAACAATTTAAAAGTTTCGCTTATGTCTTGACAAGGTATCAAAGCAAACCCCATATTTTTTGCTTTTAAACTAATAAAGATATATCAATAAACAATTAGCGATGTAATGGTTTTTGCGCGCGCTGGCCGACTGCCGCCGCTGCTCCGAGATTTCCTATACCCTTGCACACCCTTGTATATATGACGTCATGGTGTGGCAAATGTAGCATTTTAATTCGATTTGGGCTCCCTTATATAGGATAACAGAAACATTTTCAATGTTACATTTTCAATGTTAAAATTTAAGCGTCGTAATTGTCAAATTTGACACTTTCACGAATTTTAAAATTCGAAAATTGTAAACTGGATGAGTCGCTTAAAATAATTCTAAAGATTTCATTTTTAAATGCACTGTATACCGAAAACGGTAAGTGCAAAGTATACTAAACTATATATTTTTGAAATTAGCTAAAATATGTCTACCGAACCATGCTAAAATATGAGGGCGTTTCCTTTTAAAAAAAATCAAGATAGCGTCGTATCTGTCAAAATTGACGTTTTAAAAAATTTTAATGTAGAAAATCGGCATCCTTGTGAAAAACTACATTAAATAATCTTTTTACTATCTTAAAATGGAAAAAAGGAAAATTTTAAATTGGGTGAAACACTTAAAATGATTCTGAAACAATTCATTTTTAAATCCACTGTATATCGAAAACGGTAAGTGCAAAGTATACTAAACTATATATTTTTGAAATTAGCTAAAATTTATCTACCGGGCAGTGTTAAAATTTGATGGGGTTTCCATTTAAAAAAAAATCAAGATGGCGTCGTATCTGTCAAAATTGACGTTTTAAAAATTTTTAATGTAGAAAATCGGCATTCTCGCGAAAAATTACATTAAATAATCTTTTTACTATCTTAAAATAGAAAAGAGGAAAATTTTAAATTGGGTGAGACACTTAAAATGATTCTGGAACAATTCATTTTTAAATCCACTGTATATCGAAAACGGTAAGTGCAAAGTATACTAAACTATATATTTTTGAAATTAGCTAAAATTTGTCTACTGGGCGGTGTTAAAATTTGATGGGGTTTCCATTTAAAAAAAATCAAGATGGCATCGTATCTGTCAAAATTGACTTTTTAAAAAAATTTAATGTAGAAAATCGGCATCCTCGCGAAACATTACATTAAAATAACTTTTTACTATCTTAAAATAGAAAAGAGAAAAATTTTAAATTGGGTGAGACCCTTAAAATGATTCTGGAACAATTCATTTTTAAATCCACTGTATATCGAAAACGGTAAGTGCAAAGTATACTAAACTATATATTTTTGAAATTAGCTAAAATATGTTTAACGGACCATGCTAAAATATGATGGGGTTTCCATTTAAAAAAATTAAGATGGCGTCGTATCTGTCAAAATTGACGTTTTAAAAAATTTTAGTGTAGAGTATCGGCATCCTCTCAAAAAATTACATTAGAAAATCTTTCTATTATCTTTAAATACCAAACAGGAAAATTATAAATCGAGTGAGACACTTTAAATGATGTCCCTGTACATTTTATTTATGTTAAAAATAAAAACTTAAATTTTAACTTATTATTTAAAAAGTAAGTATTGCTGTTAAAGTAACCAATATAAAGAGAGATCGGAAAGGAAGATTGGACCAAATGACTCCTCTTCATTCGAAGTGAACAAAATGGATCGAGGAATGTGGACAGATATAATATTCCTTCAGGACGGATTAACCTGGTATACAGATGGGTCGAAGACCGCTGAAGGAACAGGAGCTGGAGTATTTGGGAAAAGATCAAGGGTAAGCTTATCCTTTTTCTTGGGTAAATACTCAACCGTATTCCAGACAGAAATATTCGCCATTCAATGTGCGAAAGACAGAAGAGCTTATTCAGGTAAGCTCATAAATATATAGTTAGACAGTCAGGCAGCACTTGGGGCGCTTATGAGCTCAAAGGTATCGTCGAGACTCGTCTGGGAATGCCTAGGTGAACTAGGAGCTCTGGCATGAAAGAACAGAATTAAATTATTCTGGGTGTTGGGCTGTAGCGCCATCCAAGGCAACGAAAAAGCCGATGAGCTAGCTAGGTTATCTTGGTCCAGAGCCAGTACTGGGAATACCCAAATGTAGTGCAGTAAAATCTGGATTAGGGAAAAACAGAATGTCCACTGGAGAAACAGACAGGGGCACAGGCACAGCAAACCCTTTATCCAAGGACCTAGCCCTAAAACCGTAAAAGAACTGGTAACGCTCAGTAGTAATAAAGTGCGGATTACAACAGGCCTCTTGACAGGACACATGGCTGTCAAGTGTTACGTGAACAAGTGCAACTTGTATCAAGGTAGACTTTTCTGCAGACTCTTTGCTGCGATAAAGATTCTTAAACAGCGGGGCACATAATATGTAACTGCGATGCTCTGGATCGCAAGCGACACTTTTTATTTGGGAAACCTAGTTTATTTTTGAAAACTAGGTTGTAGAACTGAAAGAACTATGCTCCCATCCTATCAAGGACCTGCATAAGTTAGGGTACAGCAGGGTACAGGGATAGGAGAATGGGCGCAGATATAGAAAGGGGACAAACACAATAGGTCTCACAGGTCGCGGTGTTTCCAGCAGAAGACGGCCCCTTGTTATTGAAAAAAAAAACATATAAACTTTTTGCCGTTTTTGCAAATATAATGGCAAAACATTCGGATATTTTTTTGGATAACAAATTTAATATACTATTTAATTTTTTAATCTGTTTTAATTATTTTATGGCTTAATTTTATATAAATTATTGTCGTTTTTTTAAATTTTGTTGTTTTTCTTCTCGTTTACCGGCCTATTAGTAAACATAGTGTTTCGACAGTCCATTCTTTATTAGTTAATCTTTGTCATTGAATATTCTTGTTAGATTAGTGGTTTAAAAAACACATTAAAATTTCAATCTGTAAAATCTCAATAAAGTAGTAATATTAAATAAAGTAATATTAAATAAAGCAATAATCAAAGTTCCCTTTTTAATTTTCTATTATTTACAATACTCGTATTCCAGGGGAGCAAAGTTTTGTCACATTTAGGGAACAGTTACGTATCTGCGTTTTATTGCTTCATATAAGGCACATGAAGGGCTTGGTAACGTAACAACGACGTCACCTAGAACACATTTTCCTTAAATGAATAAAATGCTCACTGGGTTGTACAATGAAAATAGTATCGAAAAGTTTTGTATAATAAGCTTAATATTTTAAAAAGTTCTTAACATATTATTGTTCTAATAGAATTTTTTTAGTTAAGAACGAATATTTCTTTTCACCATAGAAATAAAAAAAAATTGTTTTTTTGTTCTACAAAGAAAGTGTAGTTCATAGATTATTAAGTTATGCATAGGAATATATTTTTCTGCAGATAAATGTTTGTTTTTATTATAATATTGTGGGTGTTTTGTAAAAAAACGACAAAAATAAAAGAAGCGTGTAGAAATTCAAAATAATTACTAATTAACTATTAAATTAATGAAATTACAAATAATTACAATGATTTATATTTACATAATTTTCTGCTAGTCTTTTTTTAGTTTTTTGAAATGGCTATGGATTATATATCAGTTGAGACGAATTACCAGTCAAGCAAATTCTAATGCAATTAATTTTGTATCCTGTAGCATTTAAAAATTATATTAGAAAATTTAACGTGTTGTGTATATGTCAAATTTAACATTTAAAGTAATAAATAACTAGAAAGAGGGTTAATAAAAAGATTAAAAAAAAATAAAAAATTGCCCTTTTTTAATTTTACTTAAGCTTATTAAGTAAGGAAAAACTAACGCCATTGTATTTTTTTTATTTATCTCTAGCATTACCTATGTAATATCCAGTTTTTTTCAATATACAGAGTACTTATTTTACAAATACCTCCTGTTCTAGTTCATAACATGGGCGATAGTCCAAAGAAGGAAATTGAAAATAACGATGTAAGCGATGTTGAATTACCAAAAAAAGAAAAGGAAGATGACAAAGAAATAAAAAAAGAAAAGGAAGATGACCCTATAAAACCACACAGACCTTATCCAGGATTTAGAAAAAACTTTTATTATTATTTCACAGAATATTCTCATAATACCGGTATCCAAGGTTTTAAATATATGGGAGAACAAGAAAGAACTATTTTTGAACGGTAAGTATAAAAATGTATTTAATTATGCCTATATTTTCAACGCAATCAATAAAATTGTAATATTTTAACATAACTTGTATGTAGAATGTAGAATGAATGTAGAATGAGTAAGAAGGGGGTTAATCACTGCGACCTTACAGATCTATTGTGTGCCCCCCTTCCTTGATTCATCACACAATCTATAACCCATCATACCTCTGTTGTAGAGGGGACAGGGTATTTCCCATCCTCCTCTGACAATAATTCTTCCTCCGAGGGTACACACCCTTCCACGGTTTGAGTTTAGCCCTCCGTGCCGCTCTTCACAGTCGAGAAGCTTGCATCCGGCTGAGGAACCCGTGAGGTGGAGGCTGGAGGATCTGTCTTCATTTTCTCCACCTTTTTAACTTGGTCTCTCTTTAGACCTGATACCGGTGTTGTCCCGTATCTATAATAGAGGATATGTCACTTTTTCTCTATTGCCTCCTTGGATTTGAAGTCAATTCCTATTGTGAGGACCTGACCATGACCCTCCTCTCTCGAGATGATGACTCGCCAACTCGATGTCTGACTCGCCAACTCGATGTCACATAAGTTCTATAAAAAAGGTGATTTTAAGGCGTATGGTTTTGCAACACTATTTTAGCATTTAACGTAATTTTATTATGGTGGTATTATTAGTTGCTGTTATTGCTGAATGTTATAAAAATTCCAAATGGCGGCCATAAGAATACAAGGACTTGACTGTTGTACGAAATCTAGCAGGCTTAGAAATTTTTGAAACCGGCATTTAATTTGCCGAGGTCGAAAATACAAAACTACCAACTTACTTAGCGATAGATACATTAGTTCTGAAGATATTGCCATTTAAAAGAAATGCATTATTTTAATTTTTTTTCGCCATAATTCGGAAACTAAGTAATCAAAATATCGGAGTTTTTTCCACAGACATTTAAGTTCTAATATCGCAACTTTTATCGAGCATCGAAATTGTCACCCCCCTGTATACCAAAATGCAGTAACGCACGCATCATGCTAATGCTAATGGGGTATATCATGCTAATGCTAATGGGGTAGAGATATGTCTTTAAATAGGAAAATATTTTTCGCAGTTAGTTGTTTCGCGACGGTATTTTCTTTATTTTTTGTATATAATTTTAATATTGTTAATAGTTTATATTTTTTCTTGTTTTTAGTTTATGGTGGTTGGTACTTTTTTGTGTTTCCCTCTATATATGTATTAACTTAATTATTCAAACCTGGATAAAATGGACTACCTCTCCAGTACTTTTAAGTTTTGGTAAAAAGCCAACTTTTGTGTGGCAAGTGCCATTTCCAGGTAATTATTACTTAATTTTTTGTACATACCATTACTTTCAATCGTTTTTAAGTAGAGATGTGTTTGTACTTGAATACGATTGTTATTAAAATTGTAAGATAAAAATTAGTCGTCTATGTCTTTGCTGTTCACCTGAAAATAACTGCTTCAAATTCCAGCCGGTATGACCGATATACAGTGTGTCTGTATAGTGTATCTAACTTCGGTGGGTAATTCCACAGATAAAATGAAACACAAAGTTCCTATGAACATATACCCTCAAATGCTTCCCGAAGAAGTTACAGCATTCCAAAGGGCAAATAAAAATAATATATTTTGTTTATTTTTAAGAACATTGTTAAACCGTTTTTCTTGAAATTTGGTACTTACAATTTTTAACGCCAAAGTGAATGGTGATAGTGTAAAATTCCGTAACAGCCCTGGAAGGGTACTTTCCATTATAGTAGAGAGTATTACTGGTCGTACTCTTTTTATCCTTATAGAAGCAGTAATTTTAACAAATGACATAAAAAGCTAGAACTTTTTTACGTAAGAAAGGTGCTTTTCCTTTAGTTTGATACTGTGACCGGTTTTCAAGATGTTTGCGTTTAAAGGTTACGATGCGTCAATTTTACTATTAGCCAAATCATAAGATCAATTTATTATAAATTTTTTTATATTTCATTATTCCGCTAATACTAAAATCAACGCACCCTAACTTTGAAACGCAAATATCTTGAAAACCGTTCATCGTATCGAACTAAATGAAGAGCACCCTTTTGTAAAGTACTCTTTCAGGGCTCTTACGGAATTATACTCTATTGCTATTTGCTTTGGCATTAAAATGTATGTAAGAGTAACAGATTTCAAGAAAAACAGTTTACCAGTGTTCTTAATAATGAACAAAATATATCATTTTTATTTACCTTTTCGAGTGCTGTACCTTCTTTGGGAAGTAGTTTAGGACATATGTTCATAGGACCTTTTTGTTTTATTTTTATATGTAGAATCATCCACCGAAGTTAGATACATTATTTTTTTGCCCACCGTATAAATAGCGCTAGCCACCAAATCAATGAAAGCAGTGTCAAATTACTATACCGACAAAATGTCGGTCCCAGCCTGTACTTGTTAAAATCTGATGACATATCATTATAAGTAGAGTCGTCGCGTCGCCGCGCCGGCGCCGCGCCGTGGGTAAGAGTGTGCATTGATTATATTTTCAATAAAGAAATGTGTATCGGTTTTTTTTCGCTGCCAAGCAAATTAATACACTGTAAATTAGGGTGGGCCAAAGAAATCGACTACCTATTTTTTTTTCATTTTATACTCCAAAAAAAATGGTTGGTAAACACCTCAATAAAATTCTCTCTAAGTATAAGCTCTTAATTTTAATAGGAAGGTCTTTCGCCTTTCAGTTTTCTATTTTTTTCCTTATTATTAAAAATAAAAATTCATATCTCGGTATACACTATTTGGAAAAAATATCTCGTCTCACATATGTGGGAAATTGAATTCTCTACAAAAAAGGTCTCTTGCAACTTTTTTGTAAACCTCACCGTTCGAAAGTTATTAAAGGTTGAAATTTGATTATTTTAAGGCAGTTTTCTTTTTCTCATGAATTTTATAACTCGTTAACAAAAATTTATTATAATACGCGCAACTCATTTATGGGAAATTTACTGCTCTACAAAAACGGTTTCTTTTGATTTTTGTTCTTCTTTCTCCGCCTGGTTCCATCCAGTGTTGGATATAGGCTTTGATATAGGTATAGGCCTCTTCTAGGTTTCTCCACGCTTCGCGATCTCTAGACAATCTTATCCATTGTCTTCCCGCTACTGCCCTGACGTCATCGACCCATCTCTTTTTTGGTCTGCCCACACTTATTGTTGTTCCCCTAGGTCTCCATAGGATGACTTTTGGTTTTTTTTATGATTAGTCGAGTAAATTAACCGTTTAAAAGATATTCATCGTCAAATTTCAATGCACAATAATTTTAACAGTTTTTCATTAATATTATCACATCTTTGTCAAAAACAGCTGTTCGTTGGACTGTATACAGGGTGGTCCGAACTGTATTCCGGAAACTTCGGCAGCATATTCTGCAGATAAAAATAAGTAAAAAAGTTCGTATAAATGTATGTCCAAAAATGCTCAGTTTCGGAGATAAAAGGTGTGGAAATTTCATTTTTATTTTTATTTTTTCCAAATAATTTCTAAAGTAACGTCAATATTTGGATGAAAAATGGCGTCTGGTTTTTTTTTTTGACATGAGAAATTTCATTTTGATGTCAATATGACTCCTACTTGTAAATAATAATAATAATAATAACATATATTATACCAAAAAATAATGAAACACAAAACCCCGCCAACTATAGACCTATCACTTGCTTACCAACATTATATAAAATTATTACAGCAGTCATATGTCAGAAGATAAATCAGCACTTATCACAGCATAATATCCTTACAGAGGAACAAAAGGGATGTAGAGAACAGAGCCAAGGATGCAAGGAACAGTTAACCATTGATGCGGTAGTAATGGGCCAAGCTGTCAAGGAATGTAGAAATCTCCACGTAACTTATATCGACTACAAAAAAGCGTATGACTCCATCCCACATAGCTGGTTAAAAAGGGTTCTTCAAATCTATAAAATCCATCCAATGCTTCAAAATTTTCTAAGTCAAACAATGCAGTCATGGAGAACATCTAACAACCTGTAATGCAAATATACAAACAGATACAATCCCAATCAAAAGAGGAATCTTCCAGGGCGATTCCCTAAGTGCACTGTGGTTTTGTATATGCCTTATAACCCACTCTCCAATACTTTGAACGAAACAGCATATGGCTTTAACATTAAATACGAAAAATCAGTAAGACATAAAATTAACCATCTCCTATACATGGACGACATAAAACTATATACAGCGACAAAAACAGAACACACCGAGCTACTTAAAATTCTAGAAAAATCCACAAACGACATAAAAATGGAATTTGGGAGAACAAATGTAAAACACTACACATAAACAGAGGTAAATGGCAAAACGAAGAGCAGGCATCTACATTAAACAATGAACACTTAGACAACATGCAACCCAACGAATATTACAAATACTTGGGAATTTTACAAAACAGAAAAGTTGACCATACCGCACTCAAAACCCAACTAAAAGAACAATACAGGAAAAGACTAAGTAAAATACTGAAAACCGAACTAAATTCAAAAAACACAGTTAGAGCGATTAACACCTACGCCATACCGCTGCTCACCTATTCATTTGGAATCATTAAATGGTCCAAAACAGATCTGGAAAATTTAAATATTCTGACAAGAACTCAGCTAACTAGATTCCGACAGCTGCATCCCAACTCTTGCAAGGAGAGGCTGACCATTGAAAGAAAAGAAGGAGGTAGGGGCCTGACAGATATTCACGAAATACACAACAAACAGATTAATTCACTAAGAAAATACTTTAAAGAAAAAAATACCTCATTACACCAAGCAGTAACTATAGCGGATGCTAACTACACACCATTAAATCTTAACGCAGAAAATATTCCTGTTTCAAATATACTCACATTAGAGGAAAAGAAAAACAAATGGTCCCAAAAGCAACTACATGGAAAACACTGTCATATTATGAACAACCCCGACATCGATAAAGAACTGTCATATTCATGGCTACAAAAAGGGCAACTGCAACCGGAAACGGAGGGATTCATTATAGCGATACAAGATCAAGTAATAGCAACGCGCAACTACAGGAAATACATAATAAAAGATAGGGCCCAACAAACGGATACCTGCAGGCGTTGCCACCTCCAAAGTGAAACAATAGAGCATATTACAAATGGTTGTAAAATACTCACTGGTACAGAATACACTCTAAGGCATGACTTTGTTGCGCGTATTATACATCAAGAAATAGCAAAAACATATAAATTTATACAAGAAGAACAGCCCTATTACAAATACACGCCGCAATCTGTCTTTGAAAACGACACTATAAAACTCTACTGGGACAGAACGATCCATACTGACAAGACAGTAACATGCAATAGACCTGATATAACGTTAACACTAAAAAAAGAGAAAGTAACATATCTAATAGAAATCAGTGTTCCGAATGACAACAACATAACAAAGAAATATGAAGAAAAAATTAGCAAATACATTCCACTAACACAGGAAGTAGAACGAATATGGCAACAAAAAGAAGTTAAAATCCTACCATTTATTATATCTAGCACGGGCCTCACACACAGGAAATTTATAGAAAACCTCGATATTTTAAATTTAAAAGGTCATATTCACACACTTGCTCAAAAAGCAGTAATCATTAAAACCACAAACATAACCCGCTCCTTCTTAAAACAATAGAAACAAAACAATAGAAACTCTGACAGTACTTGGTATGAACACCCGTCTGTCAGAATATACCACCAAGAGTGAGAAAAAAAAAGACTATTTGTACAACTGTGCCCATATACAATAATAGAAGAAAGAGAAAAAAAACTAGTGTACAAAAGGGCAAGGTTCAGTTGAGCAGATTAGATATCTGCCCTCTGTTCAACTAACCCACAGAGAAGAAAATATTTGTTAACAATAATAAAAATTAATGAAACTAAATCTTAAGTAAATCTACAAATATGTAACCTTAAAATTGCATAAACAGTATAAAAATAAATTTATTTACGGCATGAAATATAATAAAATTTATATAGAAGAGAAATATATTAACAAAAATACAAAATAATACAAGCAAATTTAACATTGAACATGTTCATTATAATTATAATCCATTTATTTATGCTGTCGCACCATGTGCTGAAGAACAATTCTCTTAAATGTAGCACTAGACATCCTGTTAATATTTTCGGAGAAGTCGTTTAAATATTTTGCGATTAAATATGAAAAACATCGTTCATACAAAGTAGTATTGTGACTAGGAATTGTTAGCTTTCCCTTAAATCTAATGTTAATATTAGGAATGTCTGTGCGAAACCGAAT